CATTAAAACCTCCATTTTCCTATGGGTTTCCCATGTTGAGACACATCCCAGGATCCCTCCGCCTCCGGTGGTTCCATTGGAGGCCCCGGCCCGGGAGGCCCGGGAGGAGCAGGTGCCTTCAAGGCGATGAAAGCGGCACAGCGAGGAGTGCAGTTCCTCTTCACAAAGTGGATGGATAATGGATAGATAGATTGATAGATAGATTCATTGATTGATAGATTGACTAATTAATAACATATATATATATATAATGTATTTTCTATATATATATAATTATATGAAATACCCTAGTTAGATGGATGGGATCTCCCCAGTCAATGCAAAAAGGGGACCTCTGATGCTTCCAGTTCCGGTGCATCGGGGAGCGCGGCCGGCGCTGCCGGCGCTGAAGGCGCCCCGTCCTGGCTATGGAAAATCGCCTATGGTTGATATTAATCATTAATTAATATGTTACATAGGGTAATTAATATGGTTTAATAAGATTTAATGGGGCTTAATAGAAGTAATGATGGGATATTAATGGAATATACCATGCCCTTTAGTTACTTAGAATATAGTATAGTTGGCCCATTTCTAGATGCTACACATGATGATTTAGCGAACTTAAATATGTTGATTTTCCAGCAAACTGTGACAAATTAAAAGATAGGGATCATGAAACATCGTACCAAACAGAGATTTATTTGGTCTATTGGCCCATCAAGCATTGGCTGTAATCACTGTTTCTTAGAAGCCTCCCAAACAATGGCTTGCTCCCAACACCTCAGGTGCAATGGGGGGCAAATTGGGTAAATCAAGAGGTAAAATCTGGTCAAATGATAGAAACGTCCCCCCTTGATTTATGGCTATGATCTATGTACATCTATATGATAATATGCATCTATATACATATATATATATATATATACACACATAGAGACACATCTATATCCCATTTTTGCTGCTTGAATCACCTGTTTCTGGGAGTTTTTGGCACGGTTAAACCCACCATGCACCAGTCGATCCACCTCCAGGGCAGGCACCGCAGGCACCGCAGGCGCCACAGGCTTGGCCGGATGCACCTGGGGCCAAGTGGATGACCCAGGGGGATATCGTGATATCATGGTGATAACCATAACTGGATTGCTAATAAACCATAACTATAACATAACTATAATATGAATATACAGTATATACATGATATACATAACATAACCATAACCATGATATACATGATATCCATAACCATAACTATAAACATAATATGAATTGCTAAAGAAACTCATCAGGATAAGTGCTAATATGTATATATATATATATATATATATAACTGTTCGAAAACAATGGAACATCATTGGGAATAATGGGGACGATGCGGAGAATGTGATAACAATGGGATGTATCAAAATGGCTAACAAATGTTAATACTAGTTATAAATTGGAGATGATTCCCCATTTTTGTGACCATCATTCCAGTGACGTCACGACGGGAGGTCATTAGAAATATAAATGCACAAAAAAAAGCAAATATAACAATGGTTTCACTGCATCATATTAACAATGCTAAAATCTGATATAAGGATATCATCTGGTAAACATAATTAGTAAATATGTGGTAAAAAAAACAGATATATCAGTCATATAATGCTTAACAAATTATTATACCACTGTTTCACTAAGGAAATCAATAATAGTTAGTGGTATAATACCAGAGGATGTGGGGAGGGGATGTCGTGGTTCACCCGACCGACTTCTTGGGGTTAGACACCCCAGTTATAAATTGGAGAACTGAAATTGGATAACCCACTTATTTAGTACCTGGTAAACTGGGAGGATTTATTGACCCAGGTTAACTTAGAGGATTTGTATTTCCTCCCACTGTTCGTTAACTTGTTTAGAGATTCCACCCAGGTTACTAACGAATAGTATCTGGGAGGATAACATGAATGGGAGGGGGCAGGCCCAATGTGTCGCAAAGTGCTGGGTGATGTGGTAAAACCACAGCCACCAAACAAAAACATTGGAGGGTTTATGCAACCCATCGGCCCGGTGATATTGGGAATGGTTTAGGGTTTGGGGTTTAACAGGTCAGATTGCCCCAATGATACAAACCAGCGTGGCACGATAGAAGTATTCAATCGTATCTTATAATGGCTATATGGATCAAAACCCATGTAATCCCCGGGTTTCGTTCCAAAATAGCTGGTATAGTTGGATGTCCATCCCCTCAAACGTTGTAGATGTTTAATAATCTTAACATTACCCTCTGGTAAACTGCCACATAACTATGGAAAGATCCACCATTTTGTAGCTGGGTAAATCAACTATAAATGGGCCACTTTCAATAGTTTTTTGTAAGTTTACCAGGCCGGGTAATCCATGCACGCGCCAATCCAAATGTTCCCCCATGTCCATAGGGCCATTGTCAGCAAAGGATGAACCAAATCACTGGCTGTACGCAGTGATGTCGACTTTTTGCTTCCAGGGTTTAGGGCTCTAGATTTTCAGGTTTTGGGTTTTTTATGGTTTTAGGATTTAGGTTGGGGTTTAAAGTTTATCGTTTCGAAAAATAGAAAGCACTGGCTTTACGAAAGGATTTGAGCCCGTCAAAAGTATGTGCATGATCCGTCACCGACAAACGTCTGGTTTGCAGTTTATATATGTACCATCCACTGGTGGCAACATCCCAATAGGTGACCAAAGTGAACAGCCAAATCCCTCCTATCTGGGCTCAAATCCTCATCAGCTGTTCTCACTTAAATCTTTATGGTTGATTATGTTTGTTGGCTAACTCATCATTTTATTGGTTAAATCCACGTTTTCCTTGATGAAATCCACATGTTGGTTTACTTCAATCGCAACTTTCTCTTAGTTAAATCCCCATGATTTTGTGGATGAACTACCCGTTTCTCTTAGTTAAATTCCCATCATTCTGTGGATGAACTACCCGTTTCTCTTAGTTAAATCCCCACCATTCTGTGGATGAACTACCCGTTTCTCTTAGTTAAATCCCCATCATTCTGTGGATGAACTACCCGTTTCTCTTGGTTAAATCCCCATCATTCTGTGGATGAACTACCCGTTTCTCTTGGTTAAATCCCCATCATTCTGTGGATGAACTACCCGTTTCTCTTGGTTAAATCCCCATCATTCTGTGGATGAACTACCCGTTTCTCTTGGTTAAATCCCCATCATTCTGTGGATGAACTACCCGTTTCTCTTAGTTAAATCCCCATCATTCTGTGGATGAACTACCCGTTTCTCTTGGTTAAATCCCCATCATTCTGTGGATGAACTACCCGTTTCTCTTGGTTAAATCCCCATCATTCTGTGGATGAACTACCCGTTTCTCTTGGTTAAATCCCCATTTTCCCAATGTGCCATCCCCAATGTTCCGTTGCATCACTCCGCCATCAAAAAAAAGGGGCACGAGTCTCACTTGGGGAATTCCACGGAGTGTACCGTGGTTTATGGTTCACCATCCCCCTGCCTAACATTGATACCTACTCCCCCCTTCCAATTATGGTTAATTATATAATGGTTAGCACTAATTGTATATTATTATTGGAATTATAATCAAATGATGGAATTATAACTTTAACCCCTAAGTGGGTTATATGAGTTGCACCCCATTATAATTATGGTTAACCATGGCTAATAACAATACGTAGTTATTTATTGTTATCTATGGTTAATTATAACTAATGTTTAATAATATGGCATAAGTTTTTTCAGGTATCTAGCTGCGTAATAATATAACTATGGTTATTTTGGGTTAACTATGCCTATTAACCAGCTAGAGACCTGAAACCCCAAAACCATCCAAAACCCAAAGCCGCGCCTCTTCCACCTTGGACATGAAGGCATCACTGAAGACCACCACGGGGACCATGCAGATCCTCTGCTGTTGTTTCCCAAACGTGAGCCGAAGCTACCAGGAGATGCTGTGCTTTAGCAGTTTCATCCTAAGAAGATTGGATTTAACTATGTACTATAAGTAGGGATGTAACTATATACTATAAGTTTCATGCTTTGGCAGTTTCATCCTAAGTAGGGATTTAACTACTATAAGTCTATAAGTTAAGTTCGGATTTCACCAGAAAACATACGGAGGTTCGTATGGGATTGCTGGCCCATGCCGGTCCCAAACCAGGCATTCAACGTGGGTAAATTCAATCAGCAGAAAAATGGGATTATAGTTGATTTATCATAGCTAATCGTTGGTTTTATGGTGGATATATCTACAGTTGGATGGTGAAACCTTTCACCAACTTACCACGGGGTGGCACAAATTTTGTGCTGTGGAGTTTATACATCAAGCTGAAACCCCTCAGTTATACGGTTGCTTTGTACATACCATTAACTATGGTCAACTTAGCTTTCCAGGCCAATTGGAACTGGAAAGTGTGTTTTTCATGATCCTCTCTCCCAAGAAACATGGATTTATTTTCCAGCGTCATCCCCAGATAGCCCGCTGGCAATCCAACATAGCAATGGACAAATATATGCATGATCATGATCTACATGATATACACATGAAATAAACCAACAATCACCTATAAATAAACTGCAAGTGATTCTTCGTCAGGGATAATCCAACAAACCATGTTTTATATGTTGGAATACCAAACGCAAAGCTTTTCCGTGACATCTAGGGTTTTTCTTCGTGTTTACTCAGTGAAGTCCACAGGTTTTTGCTGGCTGTGTCCCAACTTTTACTGGCGAACTTTCCGGTTTTCTTCGTTTCATGTCAAATCCCACGCGTGGGTGGAAACAAACACATGTTTACTTCGCGAAAGCATGATCCAAATCTCAAGTTTGGGCTTGAACAAAGATGACGAAAATGAAAAACTCCGCGGATTGGTCCGTTACCCTAGGGTAAACTAACATACTGTGCAAAAGCCATGATGAGGTGATGTACCATAATTCGGTGGCTTTTCCACCTCTTTTAAAGTATACAAATTTACCCTAGCAGCTAATTCTCAACTTTTCCATCATCTACCGGTGGATTTTCCACATCTTCAACTTTTTTTCTCATGGAGATTTCCAAGGGGCCCGATGCTCATGAAGTTCAGGAAGGTTCCAATGGCCTTGCCCTGCCAGGTGTAGTCGCACCACGGCCATTCCTTAACAACGCGCCACTAAAGGCTGCGCCAGGCGAAAAAAGTCTCCACGTCTCAGGGGATGACATTTTTTTTTGGGAAATGGCAAGTCACACTTAAACACATAGGATACGATGTATCACACATATGATAACATATATATATATATATACATGTGATAACATATATATATATATATATATATATACATAGTATCCATGCATACATACACACATATATATATATATATAATCATATCAAAAATATGATTTGAGGATTTGCAAATAAATGCAATTGATGTGCTTGTTCTGGCACCAAATCCGCAGCTTGCAATGTATTTCGCTGGGTCGCCAGCATGAATTTTCTCAGGAAATTATCGCACATCTCTAAGGTTGCGGGGCAAATGATTAATCTATATTAATCTAGCAAATCCTCCAAAAAGAACCGCCCCAAAGTCGCGGGTGTGGAGAAAAGATTTCATGGCAAAAGGTTCTGCGGATATCGTCTGCCGATGGCAACAGGATGCAATCTCTCCACCGCCATCACAAATTGCAATGCAGCGGCGCTCTTCTCCGAAGATGTTCTCTTCTTCATTCTACATTCGCCGTATGTATACGTCTATGTATATATATATATATACAAAGATATGTGTATGTTACCTGTTGCGTGAATTTATGCGGATTCATATCTAGGCACCACTTAAACATTATATGATTCACTTGCACGCTGGATCCCACTGGTTGTACATTTGCTTCCCATCTTAGAAGTAGATCACATATTTGATGTATAATGAATCTAGCCCAAGTCATTTTGCCGGGTTTTGATCGAACATACAGCTGAAATTTTGGCAGTATTGGATAGGGACCCCCTGGCTGATGGGACCCCCATTCGGAGGGTCAAAAAACCCATACTACGTCCTACGTCCATAAGAATCATAAGAAACCCATATTCCGTATTGGAAGCTTATTGGAATAGGCGTGCCATCATTGGGGTCCCTATAAATTCCATGGAACATGGTCGTAAGTTCAAAGCTCACACACTTGGAAACACGCACACTTTGGTCATTGGTCTCTCTTTGCAGTGGGCAAAGCAACTTGAGGAAGGGCGGCTGTTTGCATGTCCCATTTCTTCACATTGACCAAGCATCACATTTTTTGACTCTTGGAAGTTCAAATTGTAATCCCCCACAATGCCACAATGGTTCAAAGTGTGACATGAACTCTAAGTAAACTAACAATTGTAGTAGGTAAATCAAACTAAATGGGCCACCTATACCATAGCAGACCGCAACCAAAAAAAAAAATAACAGAGGTAGGACTCCCATTATCCCATGATTCTCCCATGATGTTCCAATAAAAAGGCCCTATTTTGTTGCCAAGAGGCCCCGTGCAAGTTGATGATTTCAGCCCAGAGCGCGCGTGGGACGGAGGCATAAACTTCCTGTTGACAAAACCCATGGTGGCCATGAATCAAAGGATAGATCCATGGTAAAATATATGGTAAAACCAATGGTGAATATAACATATTATACATACATGGCAAAAACCATGGCAAAATCTGGTATGTAACACACCTATGGTATTGAAATATGATTTCATATGTGTATAAATTGATCATTGCAAATATGATAAAAAAAACAATGGCTAATGGATCAAATTTTATAGATCAATGATCATAGTCTCATGGTGAATTTCAATAAATTCAACATACTTACCATCTGGTTATTTAACATAACCATGGAAAATCACCATTTTTAAGAACGGTAAACCATCCATTTCTCTGGGCATCTATACCATGGCTATGTTAGTCATAACCAGACCAGAGGGTAACTGTAATGTTTCATGGATGAATTATACCCAATGGATCCGGTCACTTGGATTTCTTCACTGGCCCTCGAACTGGTCAACCTATTCACCAGATCGATTCTCGGGGCAGTGTATTGGAGCAATTTTGAATAGGAAACAAAACATAGGCTTCACATTTACCAGACATGAAACATCCCATGTTCAGCAAAGCCATTTGAAGCCTCATGAATTTTAACCATTGTTTTCATTCAATTTCGATGTTCCCAGAGCTATGCCCGGTAGTTTATAGGTGATTTGCAAGATGGTGATTTTCCATAGCTATAACTCCAATCACCTCATCGCTGAGATCTCGCAGCCAGTCCTGCAGCTCCTCGTCCGGATTGTTCCGCTCCGTGAAGTACCTCAGCGATCCCTGGAGGTCCGCCAGGGAAATCTGGATACCATGTGGCGTGTTTCAACTTGAGGAACACCAGGAAGGACACCATGGGATTGTTATCATCCGCTAATCATAATCTATCATTATCATTGCCATGGCTGGAACATCTCCCATGTTTAGATGAGTTTCCTAGCTAGTTTTTTTTTTAATAGGAAATTGTCCATTGCCACGTTTGATTACCTGAGGGTATATTCACATACCATGGTATAACTAGTTGAGAACACGCTGGAAAGCAACTTGACAGAACCCAAAAGAATGTGGGGAAGCATGGCGAATACTCATAGACATTGTGTCCTCCGACAGAAGCTCCATGCAGTTTCATTGTAGGACCCTTGGCACTTGCAAACCACTACAGTACATAATCTGAGAGGCAATTGATTAGATGGGCTACTGAGGTAGTTAACTAAGCTAACTAGTTCGTAAATGGAGTATATATGTATATATATATATATACATATAGATAGATGTGGGATATATATTGGTTTGCAACTCAGATAGTAACCTGTTGGCTAATCCCGTGGCCCGTCTAAGTAGTGACTTGCCCGTTGCATTTAGCCAGCGTATCCTTACCAAACATTTGCTGAGATATACAATACATTACAATACTATGGTTGCAATCTAGTAGAACATGAAAAGACAGTAACAGGTCTGACACTTAGAATGCTTGGATCCTATCCATGTGTCTTTTGTCTGCAAATGCTGGACATATGCGCATAGTATGCCAGCCCAATCGGGATGAAAAAAAATATCCGAAACATTGCAGTCATCTGCCACTTTCAATCATTGTCACTAATGGAACATGGCCATCAGCAAACACCCTCTGGACCCGAACATGGCTTTCAAAAATCACAAAAACAACTATAAAACAACTATATTGCTAATGAAACAACGATATACGATTGATTTAGAGTATGTAACATGTAATTTGGAGCTGATTGGCATGTCTTCCGGCCGCTAAACAGCAGAAACTGCACCAGGACCTGGGGCCCCAAACAACATGCTGGACACCAACAGCCATAGCAAAAAGCTCACCAGGGCCTTAAATCAAAGGAGAGGCTGAAAGGTACCCTGTGGGGCCCCAGTTTTTTTCACGTTCTGAAAAAAAAAACACGGTGAAATATGACTGGTTGCGGTTGGACACAGTTTATGCAACCCTCAGCCTTTCCTATCACTGCCAGCCTGAGATATCTTACAATCTGCCTGTTCAGCCGGTGAGTATGTATCCGGACTCGTGCAAGCTAATTCAAGCATTATTCTACCCATCCAAGGAATACCCAGTATCCCAAGAGAAAATGAATGGTACCGAACTGGGGGCTCCAAACTGCAATTTTGGAAAGGAACATCTGAGCCATCATTGAAGACCTAGAATTTCGGGCTTGGAACCGTTTAGAAGCAACACATTGGTAGGGCCCCTTGAGAGCGGACGGACCCCTAACCGAATCTAACCGAAGCATTGTAAAACTACACAAGGACTACATACCTGAAAGAGACCAGGTAGATGCCATTCTAGCTCTAAGGATGATTGAACCAGGAGTCAAACCCAGCCTCCCAAAAACCCCTACAGGTCTCACAGTTTTGAAGAGAAAAATCCAATCAGTCGAGAAAACTACCCAAAGCCATGGGGTTGCGTCCCCCAATCCATCTTATGCCGTTCTTCAACTGTGGTTGCTTTCACACGCGACTATTGATGGTTACATCCTCATTTTTGTTAGACACCAAATTTGATGGTCAAACAAATAGGGTTAGATTGAAGTTTTATTGAAACATTCCAACGTACATCCATCTGGGATACCCTCTGGTAAACGTTTACATAACTATGGAAAATCACAATTTTCAATGGGAAAATTCACTATAAATGGCCATTTTCAATAGCTATGTTAGTTTACCAAAGGGTAAATGCCATGAAACCATGGTGATGTCACCCCTAAAAGTTGGGACATTGACGGAACTGCAGCCCCAAGCACTGTACTTCGATGGGTCTTGGCTGACTTGTGTGTAAGCCCATTCAAACATATAACCCACTATTTGCCCAGCTATCTATAAGTTATACACACCTATGGATGTATATATACATATATATATATAAATACATCACACACACATATATATATATAATATATATATAATATATAATATACACTATTAGGTATTTCACCAGATTCTTCACCAGTCTACCAACTCCACTCAGATGGGCCATGGGAAAAACACGATTCCTGGTTAACTGGGTTCAGTAACGCCATGTACACAAACCATGGCACAAGGCCATGGTCTTTTGAAGGCCCGGTTACGAACTCCATGGCCTGAAAGAAAACACATATCCCGCTATTCATATCCCATAGTTCCAATGTGATTATTTGGAAGTTATGAGGAACTCCAAGTATTCCAATCCCATTATCCCATTATTCCAATATGTTATGAAGATCTCTCTCTCTCTCTCTCCATCGCCTTCTCAAGGAGTTGTTATGAAAATACTTCATGGTATTTAGCCATAGTTCTTACCCTCTGGTAATTTAACATAGCTATTGAAAGTGGGCCCATTTATAGTATATAGTTGGTATTTACCTAGCTACAAGATGGTGATTTTCCATAGCTTTTTGTATGTTTACCAGGCCGGGTAACCGTGTCCAGAAACCCCATGGCACTCCATCCGTTGGACTCGGTCCAAGACACCGTGGCCTTCAAAATGGCTCCATGCTCCGCCAGGATCGAAATCATGGAAGCGAAGGCACCGAGGTATCCTTGGCGATGCGAGCCAACGCGACCCGAGCCATGGAAACGCCATGGAAATGCCGTAGAAACGCCATGGAAACGGCATGGAAAGCCATTTCCAAATGCCAAGAAGTAAACGTTTCTGGGTGACTTCCGACATCCCACAGTTGGGAGGTGTCCCTCCCCTTTTTGTGGAGCAATGATGACTGTTGAAATGTTCCCGGTTCATCCACTGGGGAAATCGACCCGACCATTTGTAAACGTTAACAAAAAAACGAACTGGATCCAGATCCACCATTTTCTAGCTGGGTAAATCCACGAACTTTCGACTGGGCCATGTTCAATAGCTAATATGTATGTTTACCAGAGGGTTATTTAACAGAACCATGGAAAATCACTATTTTTAAGAACGGTAAACCATCTATTTCTATGGGCCATCTATACCATGGCGAACTGTTAGTCATAACCAGAGGGTATACATCGATATTCTGTGGTGGGGAACGCCTACATTTGGACACGGAGTCCCACGGTCAGTCAAAACGCACATCTTGGTCAGTCACCCTTTGGTAAACTAACATCGCTGTGGAAAACATATTCCACTGATAGATCATGTACCAATTCATGGTGATGTTCCATGGCTATGTTAGTTTACTGGCGGGTAACATCATAAGAAAGGACATTTATGGACATGTATGCTGGATTCCGTAGCTGCCAGGAATTGCCACCAAGTTGGAAAAGCATCACGTTCATTTCATAGGTACCATATATGGTACCGTCCCTACGGCTAACATGATGACCCTGCCATAAAGTTGAGGGTTGGCTAGCGTTCATCTAAGAATCAGCTAGTCTCAGGGTCTATGTTAGTTCGGGGGGATGGTTAAATCCCTTAAAACCCATTGGAACCCATCCAAACAACTTCAAGCCATTCAAGCCCATATTAAACCACATTAAACCATTGTACATGAATTCTCCGCGTTGGTTTTGATGGTAACGATCTGATGGTCTGTTTTTCTTGTAGCACCCCAGGTTTGAAACCACAAGCCCCAAGGAACTATCCGTTGAACATCTCAAACTTTGTAGTGAATACACCATAGTCACTGCATAAAAAATAAGCATAATATTAATGGTGTATACAACTAAACGGTCACCATTAAAATATATAAAATTGTCACCATAATATTTTTATAATATGTATATAAGTAACATATTAATCAGCAGCTGCAGCATCATCATCTTATTTGAAGGAACATCGCAGGGACATTCTATAGAACTACCCATGAACATCTGCCTCATGATCTCAAATTTCTTAACTGTAACAAAGACAATGCCTTGAGTTGCGCTAGGTAACTTCCCAGCTGATGATTGCCAGAATGTGTGATACTATATATTATGTTGCTAGTTGGAAGCGCGGTTCCAGTTATAAGGGGATATATAACTATCAGGCCTTGCATGTTGATGTTTAAAGTGTATTCCAGCTTCCCCAAGAAGCCGGAATAGCCAACTTGACTTTTGCCCGGTCAGTTGGTGTCAACTCCACCGCTTGAATGCTTCGAAAAATTGCTCTGCACGCCCCCGCCATCTGACCAAATTGATCTCTGCGCTACTTCGATGCAGAAGGTGCTCCCTCGAAATTGGCACTTTTGAATTGCGGCGTGTTTGTTGACATAAGGCAGGCATCATCACAAACGCAGACGGCGTGTCCTGCCAAGCGTCGGACATGTCGGTGGCATACTCTTGCAGGGCCACGCGGAGGGATAAGAAGTTAGCCGGCGCAAGTATAGAACCATAGTTCTAGGGGTTCTATCAAGTTATACCCTAACTTATTAGGTAACCGTAGTTATTCCCAGTCGAAACCTCAATTGAACCTGAAGCTCACTGTCAAGAGGAGCGTCAAGCTTCACCAAGCCCTTGGAACAGAACTGGATGGCAGAACTGTCAGCAACCCAGCCAGTGAAGTCCCTGACAACTGTGCCAAGCTCCAGCGATCTGGTCACCACTGAGAACCACATCAGTGTAGTTACCCTCTGGTTATGACTAACAGTTCGCCATGGTATAGATGGCCCATAGAAATAGATGGTTTACCGTTCTTAAAAATAGTGATTTTCCATGGCTATGTTAAATAACCAAATTGTATTTCATCATAATTTCCGGTAAATCCCAGTAAATTCCATTCATGTGGGTCAAACAATAAACCATCCCCCAGTCATCACCATTTTTATAGGTGGTGTTTTTCCCATTCCCAGTCATGGGTGGTTTGTGACATTGTTTTACCCACATTATTCATTATATAATAATAACTTATAACCATTAACTATATCATATCCATTCATATCCCATTAATATCCCATTGGAGCAACTCCATTAATATCCCATTGATATTCATTAACCATTTGTATACCATTCATATCAGGAACATATTAGTATAGGTGGTGTTTTTCCCATTCCCAAATGGGTGGTCTGTGACATTGTTTTACCCACATTATTCATTATATAATAATAACTTATAACCATTAACTATATCATATCCATTCATATCCCATTAATATCCCATTGGAGCAACTCCATTAATATCCCATTGATATTCATATCCCTATGGCAAAACTCCAAGCACCAACCCCTTGGAGCGCTTTCCAGCGCCCAGCTGCGCTCGGGCTTCAAGACGCGCAAGACGCATAGGCCCTGCAGCCACGCAGGGGCGGAGCCTGGCGATGTCGATATCGGTGGTGATCCCCAACTTTGGGTAACTTTGAGTGGAAAAAATATGGAAAAATGATGATAAACCTGGATAAGATTCGCCAGAATTTGGGGACAATTCTGGCAAATTTCAGAGATTTACATGGGTTTTACATGGTTTTACGATGTCTTAGGTGACAAAGATGTGGCTTTCACCAGCCAAAAATGCCGAGCAAATGTTTAAACGGGATTTAAGCGGTAAAGGATTGGGGGAGTGCAGAAGGAAAAAACTCGAATTGCCATTGTTGTTGGTATCTCACTGTTCACGGCTCATGTGTGCATCCTGTTTTGCTGTTGCACCCCTTTCAAGACACTTTTGCGCAATTTTGCCAGCTAATCACGGTTTTTTCAGGCTGTGACCCCCTGATTTTCGATCAACCCTTCCAATCCCTGTCGGAACCCGGTCGGATCCCAAGAAGTTAACCCTCCATCCCATGCAGGTCCCATGCAAATATTCATCTACCGCTTGAACTCGCATGCCAGCATATGATACCGAATGATATGGGAAAAAACAACTTGTTTTCAGTGTAATCATTGATCTTATATGATGCAAAAAACGTCTAAAATCCCAAGGAGGCCCAACAGGTTGGAAAATATGCGGTAAAAACCCAACATAAGTGAATTAGCACACCTACTCCCATCCGGGTATCGCTCAAATGTGTTGCCAAAAGAATAAGTTTCTGGTGGAAAAAAGTGGCTCTCTAAATCCTATGTTCTGCCGCCTCCACCCGCGCCTTTAGAGAACCACAAGGCGCTGGAGCAAAGGCCGGGGAGCCAACTCAAGAAGTCCTCAGAAAAAAAATCGCCCTGCCAAGAACTGGTGGTTACCCTCCGGTAATCATTGCCATGGCTGGAAAATATGCCATTTAGTTTAATTTTTCGAGCTTGAAAACTTCATTTTTGATGGTGATTTCCCAGCTTGCCATGACTGATTATCAGAAGGTATTGTTCACCCACGTTCACCCCAAAATGAAATACCCTCTGGTATGTAATTCTAAAATGGATTAATTAATGGGATTTGGATTTGTCTCAATCCAAAATATGGATGTAAGCATCAAATGGGATTCATATTGGGGAACTCTACCAGAACAGATTAAGGAGGTCCAAGAAAAATGCTGCGGAAATAGCTATGATCCCATGAAACATAGCAGCATCAAGCAGTCTTTGGATGGCTATGGATGGCTGAAACAACATACCCTCAACCGGAAAGAATATATCACTGGGTATAAATTATATTTCTATGTTGGGTGTATATATATATACATTAACTAGGTATCATAGCAAAATACCGAGTATGATAAGATGAATATACACAGTTAAATTCATTATAATTATACAATGTAATGATAATCAACAAAAAATAACCCGCCTGCAGGTGCATACTATTGCATACTTATAATAAACCATGATGGGCATATAAAATGGCCATCACTAAGGAAATTTCAGCATAGATCAGACCTCAAGGACTCACCAATTGTCAGGACGTGCTAGATGATTATATAAAACACACAAAACAAAGAGATGTCCTACCTCATCATGAACTTGAACTCCGGTTTCTATTTCCAATGTCTTGTGTTTCATCAAGTTTCATGATATTTAATCTGCTCTAATATGGGTACCCCCAGTCATCATCCATTTCAGTGGGATTTTCCCACGAAATCAAGCATCCAGCGAGCTTGGGGATAGGGATACCACCATGGAAACCTCCAAAAAAAGAGGCTACACCGATAACCTCCAAGACTCAATGACCATGTAGATCGGCAGGTACGACTTGCCAGTGAAAACCCTGTGGCATGGCAGATCATGGCAGGAAGAAAGCGACCATTTGGATCCATGACTGGGTCGTGAAAAAACCACCCATATCAATGGTGACTGGGGGATGGCTTACTCTTGGATTTACCACATTTTTATGGAGCTTCATAGTTGGGAAATATCTATCAAATCATCAAAAAGGATACCAAAGGGTGAACCACCCTATTGGCATACCGAACCGAAGCTAACCCAACTACATGATTACGCATGGGTTCCATACTGGAACCAATGGTTGCTCAAGTAGGCAGCTGGCTTCAAATCAATATTATATATATATATATATATTTGATGACGCTGGGTCAGAACTACACGTGCCATGTTCAGTAGGCAGCTTATCTGCAGTACAGTCATCCACATCCATCCAATGAAAATCCTTATCATGGCTTTATAATGCTTTATAAATCCCTAATGGTCTGGGTAAATTATAATATTTCACTAACCTGAATCTTGCGGCCATTTGGGGATGATTCCCCTAAAATAAACCATGATTCCCAGGGCTCGGTCGTTATAAATCCCGATGGACTGATGACCAGCCCCGCTGTGCGGGGACTTTACCAAAGTTGTGACAATGGTACCTACAAACGTACTACAAACAATCCCAAACTCTCGACCACCTGTTTTCATGTGTTTTTGGCGTGGGATACAACACGTCCACATACATTGAAGAGTTTGGGTTGGGATTGCCCTTCTGGGATGTCATGGGGATGATCCGTATCTAACCTCGTGGCTATAACCTCCATGATTCCAATGTTTCATAAATTTTCACACGTTGTCACGTCAATTTGTAGGGTTGCCAGCAAAACACCAAGATTTTGAAAACCGCAGACCAGTGGCTCGCATATCAATACTCTCGTAATTTGTTGCAGTCTGCTGTAAGAGTAAATGTGTAATGTTCATCCATGTTCCATCTACTGAATCATCTCTATATTAACAATTTTCCATAGCGAACTGTTCACCACTATCCCCCTATACAACATCCAAGTCCAGTGGCAAGCGCGCAGCGAATTCGCTCAAGAAAATCACCTGCGTTCGGAACGCATGGAACATAACTGTGGTGGGAGACACCACATCTTGTTGGGTTTGATATCTTGACAGTTAGTTCCTGAGGGAAAACCCTATTGATGGAACCATATTTATATTTATATATATATATATCATATTGAGGGAAACCTATTCATCATATACATTTTTTGTTCGAATGGGAACAGGGATTATGATCATTTGCAAGGTGCCTCCCAGTTATAATGAGTTGTTTTATAAACCTCGTACTGTCTGTTAAAAGAATAGTTATATCTCAACTTAGCTCTCGAAAATTTGGGGGTCTCACCTTATGGAATTGGGGCTACCCCTTTGGAGAACGCCTCCAATCAGCAGTTACATACACCCCAAAATGACCCATGGAGAACACTACGGGTCATGGGTGATGGGATTCAACATGGTTTGAACCGATGAAAATGGTGATCAAACCCACATTACCAAATTTTGATTTTGTGATTCTGTTTGTTTGTTTGTTTGTTTTTTCCTGCCACCGTATCAAAAACATCAAAATAAACCATTTCGAGATATCATGCCCCAAGATACCCTCTGGTAATTTAACATAGCAATTAAAAATGGCCCATTGAAATAGTTGATTTACCTATTAAAGATGGTGATTTTCCATAGTTTTTTGTATGTTTACCAGGCCGGGTGTCATTTCATGCGGATTCGATGTGGCTTCTGTCAGGGTTTACATCGCTCAGATGTCGGGCGAACAGTCGAGAAATCCTGGGATAGTCAGTTCCAAAAATCCTGGGATCAGTTCGCCGATCCAAAAAATAATTCTCGATGCCCAGCGCCAGCAAACATGAACAACTCAATATATTTATATATTTATATTTATATATACATATACACATATATATATATGTAAATAATATATATATATATATATATGTATGTATGTATGTATGTATGTATGTATGTATGTATACGTTTGGCTGCGCATGACATAGGTCCCCATCAGATTTGCCAAATATGAGTTCACATAAACGTACCTTTCACCAGTTGGTTTACCCAGAGGTCCTCCATTTTTCATTCTCGACATCACTTAATGGCTCTTACGTCTCCATTTGAGTTGGTTCATGTCACTCATGTCACCACTTTTTGCAGTCGGCTGGTGGATTCCCCCAATGCAATGCTAAACTTATAACATCCGAAGTCTAGGATGAAGGTTTTTCAAAATAATAAACCCCGTCATTTTGTTGGCCATTTCTCATGATTCATGTGCAGCCCGTCTCACGGCCCGTGACTGCCAGGCCCGTCTCAGCCGCCATGTCGTCTTAAGCCCGAGCTGCGGAGGTGATCAGATCCAGCACCTCCCACATGGTGCCAGTGACTTCCGGGATGGGGATGAAGGCGACGCCTATCGTTCCATGGTGCTGCCGATGGTTCTTTCAGAGTGCAAGAGGAGGTGCTGGATGGTTGTAAGTTTTCTTGTTTGGGTTTAAGGTGGACATATATGAATCTATGGTCAAATGGGTTTATAATTTGTATAGTTCTTTTCCTGGGCACCCATCGAAATGGGTGGTTCAACCTGGACATTGGAATTTCAATGGGTGTAGGGAAAAACCAAAAACAGGACTTCATCAAACAGTTGGGAGTTAATGGCGAAAACATGGTAACAAAAAACATAGAAACCATGAACGTTGGTAGATTGTACCAGTGATATTAGTAGCTGGTTGGTGGTTCTAACCACTCTGAAAAATATTAGTCAATGGGAAGGACTATCCCATATATTATGGAAAATAAAAAATGTTCCAAACCACCAACCAGGTAGTAATATGATCCCTCCAACATCCTCGAACGTCAATTTATGTCCCCAAAAAAATCGACTCCGATACCGCCAGGGGACGGGTCTCTTCGCCATAGGTGTAGAAAAAATAGACAAAGGTGCTGCCAAAGGATATGACCATGGTAGCCACCAAACACCTTAGAAGAACAAAATCCCAAACTCGGGGATTTCAGCAATAGGATTTTCGAGGGTAGGCCGGAGACAAACATAGATGTGTAGAACCATTGGGAAACCCTAGGAACATGATATGCAACCATGATGGGTAAACACCACATCTATGGCAACGTTTATATATAGAAGGGTAAAATCATCAGTACTGCAGAGTGAGTCAATGTTCAGCAACATTTCTTTGGTGATGAAACATCATGTATATATGATATGATTTGATATATGTACTGTACATGTTTGACACCACCAAGTACAAGGGCGATGATTCAAGTGGAAAGGGTCGCGAAAAATGTAACAACCATTTTTGTGTATGTCTATGTGGTGCAATCCATACGTCAGGATTAGTCAAATTGGTGGCTGATTACCCTCTGGTAAACATACAAAAAGCTATGGAAAATCACCATCTTCAATAGGTAAATCAACTATTTCAATGTGCCATTTTCAATAGCTATGTCAGTCATTACCAGAGGGTACATTCACAAAGTGGTCTATCCAAGAAGTGGGGGTTCCATGACATCCTGGGGGGCCATGGGTCCAGAGTCCCAAACGCACTCTGCTGCAACCAAACCTGGCTTTCCTCAAAAAAACTCCATGTCTTATATCATCTTACTATCCACTTACCCCCTCGAGATTCAAGATATCCTTGGACAATTGCCACTTGTAGATGATTTACCTAGTAACATAGTGCGAAATGCTGGACTACCAGAGACCAGAGAGTAAAAATGATTTTTCTCCTGACGACAAGATTTTAGACGTCCAAAGAGTCTAGCAACCCGCTATATGCTGGAAACTGGACATGCTGGAGTGAATACTGCTAGGGGAAAAAAAAACATAGACAAAGCAACTGCTGGGGTCTGATGGAGGAAAGGCAGCGCATCCACAGAAATGGAAGTTGTGATTGAGTTTTACAACGCATCTTGTCACGGTACTTGGGTCTTGTGTTTTTGGCTATATCCTCTTCCTTGGGCATCCCAAATACAGCCCACGTTGATGCACGTGGTCAGGCCACATGTTGTGTTTGGCTACATACTGTATGGCATATGGGTATGGCATGATACGAGTGTCAAAAAATGGGTATGGATCGGACTGCGGCGATCCGGAGATTTTTTTAGAAGGTGCACTTTTTGTGGCCGGGTATAAGTACAACTTGTCATTTTTGGGCATGGATCACTTACTGGTGCGTTTTACGCAGGGAATTTTCGGGAATGATCCATTTCATCACATTCGTAATTTCATCATCCCAGCAACCCCCAGCAACCCATCCAGCAACCCTGCGTAAAACGCACCAGTGAACCTCCATTTTCCTATGGTTTTCCCATTAAACCTCCATTTTCCTATGGTTTTCCCATTAAACCTCCATTTTCCTATGGTTTTCCAGTAAGATCAAGGGTATGGATATCCAGAGACATATGGACCATGGCGGACCATGGCTGGGGATCGCTTTATGGATGGGTTCAGGGGATTGATCTCACATAGTACCCGGCCTGGTAAACATACAAAGCTATTGAACATCGCCCAGTCGAAAGTTCGTGGATTTACCCAGCTACATAGCATGGTGTTGATTTTCCAATTCGTTTTTTGTTAACGTTTACAAATGGTCGGGTAGATTGGTCGATTTCCCCAGCGAACCAATGGGAATTTCAACAAATCAACCAGGCCCGGCCCCAGGTCCAGGCTGTCAGACCGGCCCAGGTCCCCATTGGTCCCCCATTGGTCCCCCATTGGTCCCCCATTGGTCCCCCAGGGCCCCCAGGCTCCATTTCATGCTTGGCTTCGATCCTCTGAAACTGATTGGGCACCGCCGGAGCCGTGGGCGCCGGAAGATCCGGAAGATCCAGGGCCTTGATTTCGGAGGCGAGTTAACTCCACGTGTTTTTCGAGGCACAAGGTGTAAAATCCAATTGGGGATACTTTTTGGACCGATTTTGGGGATACTTGATATTACAAGGTGAATCGAAGTTACATTTGGCGTGTGTTTTTTTTACCCATCAACTAGAGTTACATCTCCCATTTTTATCATAGACTCATAGAGATTTTTAGTCAACTTAGCTATCGAACGGGGGGCTCTCCTTGCAGGATAATTCGGGTGTAAAGTCAACAGCGGTATGGGATAATAGCTCCCCATCAGTGTTTTTTTTGGATAATGGAATTGATTACCCAAATTCATCATGTCTTTCGGGTTAGGAAATATGAGTGCTATTTTGTTTGATAGGAATGATTTTTGTGAACTTAGTGGAATATCTCTGGTGGTATAAACCAAGAATATCGCAATACCCTCTGGTAAACGTAGCCACATAACTATGGAAAGATCCACCATTTTTGATGGGTAAATCAACTATAAATGGCCGTTTTCAATAGCTATGTTAGTTTACCAAAGGGTAAACACTGCCGCAGAGTCCCCATGGTGGATGTAGGGGATGAAAACACCATGGTCCCATGGTCCCCCTAATATCCCCCGAATGGGTGATTCATGGAGATAGGAGATTGCCTTGTACAGGCTAGCTACCTTAGGCCATACCAACCATGAAATTTACCTAGTGAACCAAAGCGGCATGGATGGATCAAGATCATTACCGTCCAAATTGACATGACGACCCTGCCGTCATCGGGGTTGGAAGATTTGAGTTTCCACCAACAAAAAATTGTGATTTTTCATATTTTTCAGGGTCACCCAGTTAATTGACCAGAAGGTAATTTAACATAGCTATTGAAAATGGCCATAGAAATAGTGGATTTACCCATTGAAAATGGTGATTTTCCATAGTTATGTTAGTTTACCGGAGGGTATATTATATTCACACTAAATCACCATTTATAACGCTATTTGTGTCATCGATTTCCCCATTAAAACACCAGGAAGTAAGTTATCATTCACCTGGCCAGTGGCAAGCCTCCATCATGTCAGGAGCGGTCTGTGACTCAAGGCTTTCCGGCGCCTCGTCCGCCGCTGGCGGCGTGAACAGTTCATCCATGTGTTGTCCATTTCTGGCAGCTATACCATATATGACTGGTTGGTGGTTAATAATGGTTAATGATGGTTAATAGTGGTTAATAGTGCTTAATAGTGATTAATGATGGTTAATCATTGGTTAATTATGGCTGGTTGGTGGTATACCTACCCCTCTGAAAAATATGAAAGTCAAATGGGAGTATTATTCCCAATATATGGGAAATAAAATGTTCAAAACCACCATCCAGATTAAGTATCCATAAGGAAATATAAGTATCACCATCTTTTGGTTGGATGTAATATCTTTGGGATTACGAAAACTTTTGCTTTTGGGCTTGTATGGAAAAGGGGAAAAAATAAGGTTAATACATCATACCAGCATTTAAACCCAGTCAGCATCAGCCCACCTCTTGTGGGAGCATTTTTTCGGCCTTCATCCGTTCCTCAGCAAGGGGATCTTGATCTCAGATTTCTAGATCTATAGTTAACATATGTATACCTGTATCCTCAAAAAAGCACAAATAAATGCTCATTTGCGAGATTTCTGCTTTTTGAGCGGTTTTTCTCCACATGAGCGTAATTGCACCACTTTTGGCATTTTTGCACTTGGTGCATTTTAAAGCCAAAAATATGAGCGCATTTTCCCGGGAAATAAGCGTAAATACCCGGGAAAAAAAGCGTAAATGCCCGTCCGTCAAGAAACAAATGCGCGTTTTCTAGTTCAAGTGAGCATAAAAAGTCAGAACGAGCGTAAATCCAAGTGAAAACTGCTATGAGCAGAAAAAAGTGCTAAGTGAAGATCCAGGTATGCATGTATGTATGTATATATATATAACATATGTTTTTATCATATATTCATTCTATTGCTCAAATTGCATACTTTATTGTTCTTGTTTACCTTCATCATCAAACAATTTTAGAATCAAATTTCTGGTTGGTGCTTGAGCACTCAGGCACAAACAAATATGAAAGTCAACTGGGATCATGCAAGCACCAGGCAGTTTTGGGGTTTCATGCAGGAGAGTTTGTTCAAGCCCCCAGAACATTCAATTCACGCAGATCGAATGGAGCCCAAAATCACCAGATCGAATACTCAACTGCTGGTGCGTCTGGTGGGAATTCATAGGTTTCAGCTGTTTGATTTTTCATGCGAATTATTACATACCCTCTGGTAAACGTTTACATAACTATGAAAAGACCCACCATTTTGTAGCTGGGTAAATCAACTATTTCCATGGCCATGTTCAATAGCTATGTTAGTCATTACCAGAGGGTACCTCACGAGACTAAAACGTTTGGCCAGGGGAGATTTAAACCCAAGCCATTCACCATGTGACGTCGCAGGAATTCGCTGGAGTTGGATACCTTTAGTGACTCCTAACTGGTGACTCGATGGGGGGCCATCATTTGCCATAGAAAACGGTGAAAAATGACCGGAGGGCATCACATAAAAATATGACAAAACAGATTCTAAAGCATTGTCCGCCTCATTTTATCGCTGATTTATCGTTGTTCAACCCCTTCCAGTGGAATGGTTGGTGCCACGAGGTTCTGTTTTTGGCCGGCATATCTAATTGGAAGCGTCTTGAAAATCCATCTACCAATGGGCATCCTGAATTTTCATAATTTGTCATCCAATGCACATGCATTTAAAATCATCAATGATGTTCCAGTTTGAAACGATCTTCCAACCAGAAAGGCTCTGATTCAGATTCAAACATCTCAAAACTGGATAAACAAATCACTATAGCGCCAACCTGAATACATCTGAATAGCTTTTGCCCACCAGTTATATCGATTTTGTTGGCTTTCCCATGTCCCGTTTCCCCCAGATATCCCCAGCCATTGGATTCCGTGGCTCCACTTCCTTGTGGCAATGTTTCATCAAACTGGCGCCCAGGATTCCCGTGGGAACCTCGGACAGAAATCTGAACGAGTCCCGAGTCTGCTGTGGTTTTTAGCGATTGCCGAACTATCGCCCAGGCAAAACTCGGTTAACTCTA